TATTTATCTTATCAATTAAATTGAGTAAAATTTTCAAACAGATAACAACCCTCATCAAACATATTTTCGGCTGTAAGCCTTCTTATTTATTTTATAACTTTTATAAATTTAACTGAACTAAAATTTTCAAATATGTGGCAACCCTTTTCAAAAGTGTTTTCAACAGTCATATTTTCTAGCCCTCTTTAATTTGATACCTATATTGTATAAGGTCATTCATTTTACCTTTAAATTGAGTTTAATTTTCAAACAGATGGCAACCCTCCTCAAAAGTATTCCAGCAGATATCTTTCTTAACCCTTTTTAATTTCATACCCACATTGCAATATTTCATTTACTTTATCAATTTAACTGAGTAAAAATTTTCAAATAGGTGGCAATCCTCCTCAAAAGTATTCCAGCAGATATCATTTTTGACCCTGTTTAATTTTATTCCCACATTGCAATATTTCATTTATTTTATAAATTTAACTGAGTTAATCTTTTCAAATAGGAGGCAGTCGTCCTCAAAAATATTTCCAACAGTTATCTTTCTTAAAGCTCTTTAAGCTGATACCCGTATTGCAATATTGTATTTATTTTATCAATATAACTGGATTTAAAAAGTTTCAAACAGGTGGCAACTCTCCAAATTTTTGTAATATAAATGATCCCGGTATTATACCGAACAATACAAAAAAAATTATTCAAATTAGTTAAGCGGTTCTCGAGTTTTGATGACCGTGACTAACGAACACAACATTTATGTATGTATATATATATAGATATAGATTTCTAAATCAAGATTTCTCAAGTGCCTTTAGTTTGGTACCGATATTGTAACATTTCCCTTATTTTACCAATTTAATTGAGTTAAATTTTCAAACAGGTGGCAACCCCCTTCAAAAAAATTTTCTACTGTAGTTCTTTTAAAAACTTATTAGCTTGCTACCCACATTGCAATATTTCATTTTTTTAAATCAACTAAACTGAGTTAGAATTTCTAAATAGGTGGCAACCCTCCTCAAAAGTATTTCCAAAAGTCTTCTTTCTTAAACCTCTTTAATTTGATACCTATATCAATTAAATTGAGTTAAATTTTCAAACAGTTGGCAACCCTCCTCAAACATATTTTCGTCTGGAAGCCTTCTTAAAAATCTAAAGGTTGATACCCAAATTACCGTATTTCATTTATTTTATCAAAATTGAGTTTAAATTTTCAAACATGTGGCAAATTTACTCAAAAGTATTTCCAGCAGTTATCTTTCTTAAACATCTTAATTCTAATATCTATATTGTAATATATCATTTAGTTTATCAATTAAATTGCGCCAAATTTTTTAACAGGTGGCAACCCTCCTTTAAAATATTTTCGGCTGTAAGCCTTCTTAAAACTCTTTAGTTTGATACCCACATAGCAATATTTCATTTACTTTATCAGTTTAACTGAGTTAAAATTTTAGAATTGGGGCAACCCTTCTCAAAAATATGTCCACCAGTTATCTTTCTTAAACCTCTTTAATTTGATACCAATATTGTAATATTTCATTTATTTTATCGATGTACTTTAGTTAAATTTTCAAACAGGTGGCAACCCCCTTCAAACATATTTGCGGCTGTAAGCCTTCTTAAAACTCTTTAGTTTGACACCCACATGGCAATATTTCATTTATTTTATCAATTTGACTGAGTTAAAATTTTCAAATAGGTGGCAACCCTCCTCAAAAATATTTCCAGCAGTTATCTTTCTTAAACCTCTTTAATTTGATACCCATATTGTAATAATTTATTTATTTTATCAATATAATTGAGTTAAATATTTTCAAATAGGTGGAAACCCTCCAATTTTTTGCGATATCATTGGTTCTGGTATTATACCAAACAATACAAAAAAAAAAATTATTCAAATCGGTTCAGCCGTTCTCGAGTTTTGACGACCGTGATATACGAACACAACATTTTTATTAATATAGATTTGTCTATATCTATATCTATCTCGATTCGTTTTGGCTGTTACAAAGAACCGTTATGTGAATAAAATTATAATACCCTTGTGCACATGTGCGCTCGAGTATTATAAATATGAAAATTGAGCTTGATTAATAGATTTTTAAAAACTTTACAGCACAAAAACAAAAACAAATCGATTTAATGGTTTTCCAAATATCTCGAGAACGGGGCGAGGAAAAAATTAAAAAAAAATACACATCTACACATCAAAATTCTCTATGAAAATAAATATTTTTTAAATATTTTTCTTGAAAAGTTTTGCACATATAAATTTTTTGATAAAGAAAATTAGTTTTTGAACTTATGCCATCTCAAAAAAAAATGGAAAAAAATCACAATGGTAGCCCTGAGTATTGCGCAATATTTAAGTAGCGTATTATGGGCAGTGTTGCCATTTTAGCCGTTTTCCGGCTAGATTTAGCCGGTTGCGATAGCAAACAGCCGGAGAAATTTCGATTTAGCCGGCAGCCGATTTGTTAGCCGTTTTGCAGAAAAAAATTAGCCGTTTTTAGCCAATTTTGCTATTTGTCTTGTTTTCTTAAATTTCAAATATGTATATATGTTTCCATTTTTGACTAAACGACCCAAAATCTGTTAGAAATGGCTACTAGCCTTATCGTGGAGAAAATTTACATGTCAGGCAGGGTTGTATGAAATTGAACCGATTTCGCTTATTTTTATTTTAAACGAAGAAGGGATTTTCTTCATAAAATGTTTGTTATAAATGTCTTAATTTTAAGTGTGAAGATGTATTCGCAAAGAAATAAATGAGAAAGAAAATAAGAAATTGTTTCACTGTTAAGAGACTTAAGATTCGTTTGTGTTGGGATATAGTGCCAACAAACAGAATAAATATTACATGTAGATATTGTCTTCCCAGATAGCGCATATTCAATTCTGCATAAATTACAAAACATCATTCTTGCCCACTCCCAAAGGTTTAAGATATGGGAAAAATTGATATTTTCAAGCACTATGTACCCATATGTATTTTTTTAAACAAACTTTTTTGCTGAGAACTTATTTAAATTCCAAAAACCGAATGCCAACTTGAATTAAAGGAACCAACACTGAAGTGAGTCAAAATGAAAATAAAAGAGCACAAATTTCTATGTAAAGCAAAACTCTCTGGGAATCCTACGAGACATCTGCCGGTCATATGACCGGTCATCTAAATGGGAGATCTGCAGTCTTTTGGCATCATATTTTACATCAGAATTGAAGGGATTTCTGAAAAATCTGACCAGTTCTTTTGTGTAACTGTGATTTTGCATCCCTTGTCAACATATGGCCTCGGTTGATGTTAACTTAAGGCCGTTGTTTTACTGCCTTAAAATTGAAGGGAAATTTTTACAGCGTTTTTTATGTGTATTGGTTTCTATCTGAGTGTATTGAGAATCGGTCAGTCTGAAAAGCCCTTGCAGGGAAGACAATTATCACTCAAAATATCAGATAGTAATAGTAATAGATAGTTTTTTTTGCCGAGTACCTTTCAAATCATTGGAATTAACTAAATTAATTAAGTAAAGAAGTATTAACTCACATTTTTCATTTTAAAATCGCTCCAGTTTGTAAATTTTTAAATTTAACGAACTGGTTTATTCAAATTATCGTCGACAAAAAATCCAACCATGTGCCACAATCATGTTTTTCCTAATTGCAAATTCTTGCTGGCAAAATTTTTTCCGGCTCGAATTTGTAACTTCTCTCCAAGAAATAGTCTTTTTACTCGTGATTTATTTAAACAAATCATGTGAAATTTAGTTGAAACATTTTAGCCGTTTTTAGCCAGTTTTATTTGCCAATTTGGCCGGTTCGTCCAAAAAGTTCTGGCAACACTGATTATGGGGTGCACTCTACAATAATTTGAGATATGATTTTTTTTTTAACCGAAGGTGAGTAAAATGAGTACATTACGAAATAGTAGACGTGTTTATGCGCTTAAAATTTGTATGGAGCAGTAAGCGACAAACTTTATGTGAGCTTATGAATGTGGATGCTTGTTTTTTTACGCGGTAAGCGTAGATGTATATGTGTGTAAAAAAAACACGGCTAATAATTTAAAAAAATTTTTTTTTTTAATATGTAGTTTTGTAGCCTATTAAATTTTAGTATAACAAAGTGCCAGTTTAAGCTACTGCAAAATTGCGTTGATTTTTAATATTTTTTGTGCTGACGGCTTTATGCACTTTTTTCTTATGGAAGAAAATTAAAAAAAAAATTAACGCTAGGTTTGCAATCGCTTAAAACTTGCACTTGCACTAAAATTTAATGGGCTACAAAACTGCATACTAAAAAAAATTCAAGAAAAAATTTTAACAATTTTTAAATTCGTAATGTACTCTCATTTTACTCATCATTGCTGTAAAAAAATTCATAACTCAAATTATTGTAGAGTGCACCCCATAATGCTATACTTAAATATTGCGCAATACTCAGAGCTACCATTGTTTTTTTTTAATTTTTTTGAGATGCCATATTTTCGAAAACTATTTTTTTTAATCAAAAAATTTGTATTTGAAAAATTAAATTAAAAAAAGAAATATTTCTTTTCATAGGAATTCTGATGTGTGTATGTGTGACTTTTTTTTCAAATTTCTTCCTCGCCCCGTTCTCGAGATATTTGGAAAACTATTAAATCGATTTGTTTTTGTTTTTGTGCTATAAAGTTTTTAAAAATATATTAATCAAGCTCGAATTTCATATTTATTTTTTATTTATGTTTATCCATCAACCCCTGAAAATTTGAAACAAATCAAACACATGAAGTGTGAACCCCGTCCATTTTGGTGTTTGAAAAAACTCAAGGAAATAGCGCAGAGCTAATAAAAAAGAAATGAATTAATCGTATCAAAAGCCCTTATATGATATTTTTCTAAGAATATTTTTCAAGAACTTCATCTAATTAAACAATAAATTAAGGATATCTTCCTTATTTGAGCTAAACTCGAAAAAAGCCGTTAACGTAGTTGTAAAATAGACTAAACCAGATTCGCAATTAAGATGTTTTATTTAAGTAAAATTTTGGTTTTGGTCTACAAACTATTACATCAACCGCGATTGGCGCGAATTACAGAAAACCGCGTTAGGCGCGGGTTTTATGTGGTATGTTCTCGTCGGCTTTTGCGCTGCGAATGACTTTGAACAATTAAAGGACAAATATAGGACAAGTAAAATATAAGTAAATAAGTAAATACATAAATGTTCGAAAATGACATAGCGGTAACATAAAATTATCTGGTACTGCCGGATGGATGTTGTAGTTGACATGTAGGTGGCGTTAACATCCCACCCCGCGGCGAATCCTAGTGGGGATTCGCAAACTCCAGAGCGGCTAGCTTCGAGGCTGGACGACGAATAGTTCCACCACTGGTTTGTACCGTGGCGCTTCTCACTTGACCGTATTTCGCTTTAATGATTTCGGTGATGCGGCCGGTCTGTCACTGGCCTCGTGGCAAGTGCGGGTCGCAAACCAATACTAGCTGTCCTGGTTGAAGAGGAGTAGCTTCTTTATGCCATTTTGAACGCGTCAGAAGTTGTGGTAGGTACTCGTTGATCCATCGCTTCCATAAGCGATCTTTTAAGTTTTGCGCGATCCTCCACTGCTTTCGGAGGCACACCTTCTCGTCGGCATCACCAGGAGTCTGCGTAGAATTGAGGCCTCCCAGAAGAAAGTGGTTTGGAGTCANCCATAAGCGATCTTTTAAGTTTTGCGCGATCCTCCACTGCTTTCGGAGGCACACCTTCTCGTCGGCATCGCCAGGAGTCTGCGTAGGATTGAGGCCTCCCAGAAGAAAGTGGTTTGGAGTCAGTGGTTCTGGGCTCTGTGCCGACAACGGTATGTCTGTCAACGGGCGACTGTTGACAATGTTTTCGGCTTCAATGATCACGCTACAAAAGGTCTCCAGTCGAGGGGCCTCTTCCTTTAATACACGATGAAGGATTCGCTTGACACACTGGATCAGGCGTTCCCAGCACCCACCTTCGGCTGGGTTGGCTGGACAACTGAATTTCCATTCGATCCGGTCCCGTGACGTTTCACGTTGAATAGCTTCAAAATCGAAAATTCTCTCGTCTTTTGCCANCTTTCCATTCGATCCGGTCCCTTGACGTCTCACGTTGAATAGCTTCAAAATCAAAAATTCTCTCGTCTTTTGCCAAGTCATGTTGTGCTCCAACAAAGTGGGTCCCGTTATCGCTTCTTATGCGAACTGGTACTCCCCGGCGGTTCACGAAATTTCGCAAACAAAGCAAGAATGCGTCGGTTGAAAGATCGACTGACACTTCGAGATGAATCGCTCTTGTGGTTAGGCAGGTGAAGACGGCGATCCAACGCTTCTCACGTCGTCGACCAATGCTGACGAAGAACGGGCCGCAATAATCAATTCCCGTATAGGAAAACGGGCGGACATATGGTGTTAGACGATCGGGTGGTAACTGACCCATNGCTGACCCATCAAAGACGTGGTCGGCTTGGCCGACTGACGTACACACACTGGACATCCTTTTATTACAGCTTTCAGTACGGCGTGTGCATGTGGCACCCAAAAGCGCTGACGCATTTCATTGATCGTTAACCTGTTGTTTTGGTGATGATTCTTCCGATGAAAGTGATCCAAGACGAGAGACGCAAGGCGATGTCTCTGCGGTATAATAATTGGACGGCGTGTATACTCCGGCAGACAGTATGCGGCATCGATTCTGCCATTTATGCGCAAGCTCCCATCCGGATCTAGTTTTGGCGTCAGTTGAAATAGTGGGCTCGACCTCGGAAGACACTTGTTCGCACGTAGTGTGTTGATCTCATTGCCATAGACTTCGACTTGTGCTTGACGACATATGTAATTTTCCGCGGCTACCATCTCACTCGGCACTAACTCACCTCCTTGGCGTGATTCAGACTTTAGTTTGCGTATAAAACGTAAGATCCATGCTACCACTCGTAGTAGCCGTGTATAAGATGAGAACTTGTTGATATCGATGGCATTTCGACGATTATGTGCGACTAATGTCCTCTTTATACATTCTTCTTCAACGATGTTTGAGTGCAGTTGCTCTGGTTCTTCAGGCCAGTTCTCTTCTTTGGATCGCAAAAATGTGGGACCTGTCGTCCAGAGAGAATCTGTGCGACACATTGGCGACGACTTGAGCTTGGTAGCCTCATCCGCCACGTTGAGCGCTGAGGGCACCCATCGCCATTGACTCGGACTGGATGTGGCTAGTATTTCCGATATACGGGTTGAGACAAACTGCTTAAAGTCTCGTGTAGTTGACCGGATCCATAACAAAACGGTTCTCGAATCGCTCCAAAATGTAACGCTATCTATGCCTCGGTCAAGGCACCTTTCAACTGACAGTCGAAGACGGTTACCCAATATGGCGGCTTGCAGCTCCAAACGCGGCACTGTTGTTGCTTTTTTGGGAGCGCATCTCGCTTTAGCTGCTACAAAGGCGACTTGCACGGTGCTGCTGGTCAACATCCGGAGGTATACTACAGCGGCATAGGCGGTTTAGCTTGCGTCACCAAAAACATGAAGCTGAAGACCGTCGGCGGTGGAATATAACGGTGAGTAGCAGCGAGGTATGGAAAACTTGCGAACTTCCTGGAACATTTGCCACCATGTTGCCCATTGCGACGCGAGCGGTTCTGGTAAATAGTCATCCCAGTCGATGCCTTGTCTCCAGGTCTCTTGTAGTAGCAGCTTTATGGGGATGGTGACGTAGGCTAGCAGGCCAAACGGGTCATAGATGGCCATGGCCAAGCCTAGTAGCTCTCTTTCTGTAGGTGACCTCTTGCCATCTGTGACTTCTCTCGGTATATTCTGGAACCTGAAATGAAACTCCAGCGTGTCATTGGTGGAATTCCTATACATACCCAAGATTTTGTCTGTTCTTGGCTGACGTTCCATGCTGATGACATCGGACTGCACTGGGTTATCGTTGTTGAGTCGTAATTGCAGTTCCTTGCAGTTGGGAATGAAGTTCCGTAGATTTAACCCGGCGGCTGCGTTTATTGCTACTGCTTCGTCAACCCCCTCCTTGGCTTCGGTTGGGCTATCGAAGCTAGCAACAAGATCGTCAACATATGTGTTTTCGGTGACGACTCTCACTCCCCTGGGCATTGTTTCCCGAAAATTGGCGGCGTTGATGTTCTTTACGTGTTCTGCGCAGCATGGCGAACAAGCTGCACCGAAAATCATTTACGTCATCATGTAAACTTAAATGGGCTCATTTTGATCTCCATCCCTCCATAAAAATCTTTGGGAATTCCTGTCACCCTGTCGAATCTTTATTTCCAAAAACATTTCTTCAATATCTCCGGCCGCAGCAGTTTGGCGTTGGCGAAACTTATGCATTATATTCATAAGCGGTTGTGCACATTTGGGACCTTTCAGTAGGAATGTGTTTAGTGAAACGTTGGAAACTGTGGCTGCTGCGACGAAAACTACGCGGAGCTTATTTGGCTTGTGGGAGTTAACCACACCAAAGTGCGGCAAGTACCAGGTGGCAGGGCTTTCTTGCATTGCTTCGGCTTCTGATAGTAACTGGACATACCCTTTGGCGATGTATTTTCCAATAGCTGATTTGTACATCTCAGCATATAGGCTGTCGTTTGCCATTTTGCTCTCTACTTTAAGCAATCTTCGTTTAGCCATCTCGTAGCTGTGAGGTAAGGCGACGTCATCCTCGCGCCACAATAGGCCCACTTCGTAACGCTGGTCAATATTTCGCGTCGTAGTTTCGAGGATAGTCCTAGCTCTGGTGTCGTCCTCGGATTCCAACGGTCTATCTGGTACCTTCACGCCTAAACTTTCTATACTGAAATAATCATCGACCAGTTGATGAAGCTGCTTCGTTGTAGGCGACCTTCGAACATGAAGACATTGGACTGCACTGGCTGACGGTGCTGAACCATAGGCTACCCATCCTAACTTGGTAGCGGCTGCTATTGGCTCATGAGGACCAGCATGTATTGTCCTTTCGGCCATACTTACATGACTGTTGTCTAAACCGATCAGTAGCGACGGTTTTACGGCGACATAACTCGATATTGGCACGTCTTCAAAATGACTATATTGGTGGCGATGAAATGTCTGCACCGGCAAATCCAACTCCTTGACGGTGGTTATATTCTTCAGCTGGTACCATGTTTTCGACTGGGCTCCGCGGACGTCCAGATTGAATACGCGCGATTCTTCTGTTGTGTGATTTTGGTTGAACCACTGTAATCTTAGCGGCTCTGCCCGACCCTTGACTCCGATCGCGTCAGCGATAGCTTCCTCCAACAGCGTAACCGATGACCCTTCGTCTAGAAGTGCATACACTTTCGTGCTGGCTCCGGGCCCCATCAAAATAACTGGTAAAATTTTGAAAAGGCAAGTACCGTGTTTACTATCGGTGCAGTTCAGCAAATGTTCATTTCTACTTTGCGGCTCGGCGATAGGCTGAGCTGGCGTTATCGGGGTGTGCTGATGTAAGAGCGGGTTGTGCATACGACTGCACCCATCAATCGCACACTCTTGTTTGCGTTGACATCTGGTCAGGCTATGACCGCGTTGCAAGCAATAGAAGCATAGACCCTTAGCCGTCACGAAATCCCATCTCTGGCGTACGCTAAATGCTTTAAATTGCCGACATGCCTCTAAATTGTGACCTTGATTACATTTCAAGCAGGAAAGTTGCTCTTTTCTTTGCTGTTGGTTACTATTAACCAGCACACGACGTGAGGTATTTGACGGACGACTTGGCGGTTGACATCTTGGACGTGTATTTGACGGCGCTTGACTGTTACGCATGCCAGACAACGTTGACGGCATGACACTAACTACTCTTGCTAATTCGCTTAGCCATTCTGCGAATGTCTGGACAGTAGGAAATGGTAAGACATTGGCAGCGTATTGGCTCCACTCAAACTGCTTCGAGCCGGGTAGCTTCAGTACAAGTAGCTCTAGGAGCATTGGGTTCAATAGATGATGCTCGCAGCTTGCTGCTTGAAAAAATGCGATAATGTTGCGAACCCTGTTAGCCAGCTCTAGCACTTGTTCCAGCCGGCCTTCATATATTATGGGAAATTCTTTTACTTTTCGCGTCTGCACATTTATGAGTAGTTCTGGTCTACCGCAGTTGAACTGGAGCTCCTCTATAACCTGCGGAACATTCTCGGGAAAAATTAGCAGCGATGACACAACACGCCTACCGTTGCCTTGCAGGGCTGTATGTAACCTCATAAGGTTCTGTCTGTTATTGTACCTGAACTCAATTGTGCTATCAATAAAATTCGCCCGAAATAGCGGCCAATCTTCTGGGTCGCGATAAAAAACTGGCAACGGATGTAATTTGACGCTAAAAATTTCAGAGTAGTAAGGTGTTAAGGCCGGCGACGGATTCTCTGATGGCTCCGTTGGCATAGCTTGCGACGGCAGATGATGTTGTGCATTCGGTGTTGGCGTTGACTGCTCCGACGGCAGAGCATTTAATGACGTCGACAGAATTCTGAGCGAAGGCGGCAGTGACTGACCCTGCAGCGTATACGTTGGCGGCGGCTGCGCGATCGACTGACGCAGCGGCATGTTAGTTGATGACGTCGGCAGCGACTGACCCTGCAGTGTATAATTTGACGGCTGCGCTGCCGACTGACGTAGCGGCATGTTGGTTGATGGCGTCTGCAGCGACTGACCCTGCAGTGTATAAGTTGATGACTGTGCTATCGACTGACGTAGCGGCATGTTGGTTGACGGCGTCTGCAGCGACTGACCCTGCAGTGTATAAGTTGACGGCTGCGCTATCGACTGACGTAGCGGCATATTGGTTGACGGCGTCTGCAGCGGCTGACCCTGCAGTTGTTGATTCGATAACGGCGGCATTTGTCCGGAAGATAATGCGCGGTATATTGATGTTATAGGCGGTGGTTTATCACCACTGAGTAACGGTGGTTGACCCGAAGCGGGTAACTGTCGCACTTCGGCTTGCGGTAATGCTGTCTGGCAGGCAAGTGTTTCTGCTGCATCTGCTGATATGCGTGTGCGAAGCTCTACTATGTCCTTTTGACTTTGACACGTAGCCTCTCGCAACTCTTCTACCGTCTTCTTGATGCCGGTCAATGCTGAAAGTAGGGTGTTCATTTGCTCCTGTGACATGTGAGCCAAATTACCCTCCATTAAGGTTTGATTTGCAGCATCCTCCTCGTCTGAATGCCCTTCTTCATCCCGACTTGTGCCTCTGGTCGTCATTGGCATGCTTACTGTTACGATCAACCTATACTCCAGCAATTAGCCACCCGTACAGTAGTTGCAGCGATCTGGAACTATGTATATGAGGGAAGCAGTATAGTTGTTTAAGGCGGCGAACAACTAAACGGCTACTTCAACTCGCAAAGTCGTACAGCTCGTCTTCGTACAGAAAATGGCGACTTTTCGGGAGGACCATGCGACAAGATCAACAACTCGCAGCAAGTTGAGCACCCAATGTAAAATTATGTGGACAATGCAGCGACGACGCAGGCAAGCATACAGCTCGACTCCTTCTATACGTGTCCTTAACTCCTCGAAATGACCACAGTAGCCTTGCTACTGGAAAACGTGACTTGACGGTGACACCTTGACAAAATGCACCAGACAGCAACAACAAACAGCATACAAATATAGCACACGAGAAGTTCAGCTTGGCGGCCAATGAAGATACTGGAATCGTACAGCTCGACTTCTCCGTGATTTTTGTCTCGAAATGGTGAATT